TTTTCACTGATGATATGGAGGTTTTCCATCATCTCTTTCTGCAGATGTAGTCAGTTTGATTTCTGTGTATTCCATCTGGTGAGGTCCATGCGTATAATCGTCTCTTATGCTGTCTAAAGGAAGTGTTTGAAATGAACAAATCATTGATTTTACAGAATTCTGTTATGCCATCATTGCATGCCAGCATCATTTCTATCACCAAGGCCATATTTTCCAGCTACTGATCCTTCCTCTTTGCTCCCAACCTTTGCATTCCAGTCACCAGTAATGTTTGATCAATTTCAGATTGAAGAAGTTGGTAGAATTCTTCTGTTTCTTCCTCACTGGCTTTAGTGGTTGGTGCGTAAATTTGAATAATAGTGGTATTAACTGGGCTTCCCTATAGACGAATGAATATTATCCTATCATAGATAGCGTTGTACCTCGTGACTGATCTGGATATGTTCTTTTTGACAATGAATACAACACCATTCCTCTTGTATTTGTCATTTCTGGCATAGTAAACCATGTGGTCATCAGATTCAAAATGGCCAATACCAGTCCATTTCAGCTCACTGATGCCTAAGATATCGATGTTTATTCATTCCATTTCATTTTTGACAACTTCCAGTTTTCCCAGATTCATACTTTGTACATTCCATGTTCTGATTTTCAGTGGATGTTTACAGCTGTTTCTCTTCATTTTGAGTTGTGCCCCATCAGCAAAGGAAGGTCCCACGGGCTTTTCTCCCATGAGCTTTACTCCGTTTGCATCATCATGGTCAACTCTCCTTTGAGAGGAGGCAGCTTTTCACCAGTCACATTTCGAGTGCCTTCCAACCTGAGGGGCTCATTTTCTGGCACTATATTGGACAGTGTTACTCTGCTATTCATAAGGTTTTTGTTGACTAAATATTTGGAAGTGGTTCGTCACTCCTTCTTTCTAGTCTGTCTTCATCTGAAGTTCATCTGAAACCTGTCCACCATGGGTGACCCTGCTTATAATTAAAATACTGGTGTCATAACTTTCAGAATCACAGCAACTCACAAGCCACCACAGTACGACAAACTGATTGTTGTTAGCTCTTATTTCCTGTTGATAGCATCTTTGCTTATACCATGCCTGAATAGCCATTTACCAACCCGAAATTCATAGGAATGGAGTGTATTAGGTGCCCTCTTTGGTTATTTTTGTGCTAAATGTGCCTAAGGAACACATAAGCAAGAGGATCCAGGCCTTTAAGACCATCAATCCCAGTTTATGGCCACCTTGTATTCAGTTCTAGAATGTATGCCAAAACCAATTCACCAGGGATCTTTGTGCTTCCTTACTTGGCTTGTTGACTATGTTCTCTAAAGGGAAAGTGAGA